AGGAGTCTTACTGGAGTCAGGATGCATCTTGTCAGATGCATCCTAACAGAGAGGGAGAAACCGATCTATAAAGACATTATCAAGTCAGTTAGATAATGCTGTTGTCAAATACTCCAGATCATATGCTGCGTTCACACCATGTTCTACTTAGAGCTGTTCATGTCCTTGGACCGGGAACTGTGCGTTTCTATGGCAACACTCTTGATGCCTAAATTAATCTGCTGCAGTCAGGTACAGTCATGTGGTAAGTCACGTGGTACACGTAGAAGCATAATTACCCAGATTACAGATGGCAATTATGAGTTCTACAAGGACATGAATTCTTTTTCCAAGTTGGAATCTTGTAATTATGGCAAATACAACATGGGATGAATGCACTTATACATACCTGCTTTACTGTAAAAAGAGCTGCTCTTTGAAATACCATCTAGGTGATGTGAGGCTTGTCATTGACAACTTTTTTGTGAAGAGCAAACATTAAAGTTATAGTCTTTATAAGGGCATGTGACTTAAGGGTTTACATTTAATTGTGCAGTGCGCCAGTCAATAAAGTGATCCTCCTCAGAACAGGTCTCAGTTAACCCACATGACATACTGCTGATCTGGAGTTTTGCTGTGAGGTGGCATACGTGTACATTTTAGTGCATAAAGTAATTTAAATGTATGTACATGCCTGATGTGAACAACGACATTGTTTCGTTCTTGTATAACTTCCATGTTTGAACATAGAGACAGGGTTTCAGGGTTTCACCTTAGCTTAAGCCAGGACTAGGCCTTAGGTTAAATTAGGATGTTTAAATAACTTTTATAAAAAATGACCTAATGACCTTAATCTCAGTCGAACTCACTGGTCCGGGGTTCAAGCGCGGTTATGTTATGCAGGCGCGTGAGAAAACTAGCTAGCTAACGGATGAGAAATGTCCCGTCGTTTAGACAAACAACAATTTTCGCCGATCACAGTCTCTCGAGGAAAAGAAAGAGCGATAAAAGGTAAATGGTGGAAAATAACGTCCATACAACTAACTTATCTAAAACGAAGTTTCCACCTTCTCATCTACAGCTTGTTGAATTCACACACAATCACGGTGACAAAACGGTGTCGCTAATGGATGAAGTACTGCTTGAAAAACTTTTTTCAGTATATTAGGTCCCTCAGTATTATCAGCAGTTTTCGCATTGCTCAATAGCTAATTACCCTCCTCCATCCCCAGCTCCTCCTCTGTCAGTCAGGATTCAGCCTTCTGATT